CAGGCTAAAGAGACAAAATCATATGATCATATCAATCAGTGAAGAAAAAAGCTTTTGACAAAATTCATACCCAGTGATGATAAAAAATGATTCCTGATGTGGAACTGTAGGATAAGTAATGGACTTCAAGGTTGATTTGAACCGCAAGATGACAAACCCACCAGCTACTCCTCAGAAACCCTATACAGGGTCACTATGAGTTGGAACCAACTCAATGACATTTAACAACAACATGATTTAAAACAACAACAACAACAAAAAAAACCTCTCAGAAAAATAGTAATACAGGGGAATTTCCTTAACTTGATAAAGAGTGTCTACAAAAAAACAAAAGTAAACAAGTCCACAGCTAACCTACTTAATGTGAAAAATGTTCCCCCCCAATAACAGTTACAAGGCAGGACTGTCTGTTCTCACAACTCTTGTTCAACCTATATTGGAAGTTCTCGTTAGCTTATTAAGGAAAACAAAGGAAATAAAGTGTATACAGATTAGAAAGAAGGAAGTAAATATTTGTTGATGACATGATTGTCTGCATAGAAAATCCCAAGGAATGTAGAAATCAAAACCACTAGAAGGAATGAGCAAGTTCAGCAAGGTTGCAGGGTATAAGTAAACATGCAAAAATCAATTGTCTTTTTATATGCTAGCCCAGTGAGATGGATTGCCAGAGTGGCAGCATCAAGGGGCTCAAGCGTGGCAATAATTGTGAGGTTGGCCCAAGATCAGGCAGTGTTGCGTTCTGTTGTGCATAGGGTCGCTATGAGTTCGGTCCTGACTCGATGGCACCTAACAACAACAATAGGAATGAACACATAGAAATAAAATTTTTAAATATAGTACTGTTTATAGTAACTCAGAAAAATAAAATACTTACATCTATCAAAAATAATGCAGAATTTTTTGCTAACAGCTACAAAACACTGATGGAAGGGTTTTGGAATCAGTCTATTTACAAACTTATTCAATAGCTATAGTAATCAAGACTGTGTTGTATTGGTAGCCAGGGATACTCATAGATTATTGGAACTGAATATCGAATCCAGGAATTGATTGTTCAACGGAATGTGACAAAGTTATGAAAGCAATCCAGTGGAGAACGGATAGCTTTTCCACCATCTAGTGCAAAGCAGAATCTCAGTTTAAACCTTACACCTTATTTAAAAATTAATGCTAAAAGGATCATGAACATACATGTAAAACATAAAACTCTTAGGGAAAAAACATAGGAGTAAATCTTTGAGATTTATAACTAGGTAATGAGTTCCTATTTCAACAACAAAAGCATAATCCGTAAAAGGAAAATTTGATAAATTGTAACTCTACATAACTAATAACCTGTTTTGTGACAGACTCTGCTAAGAAAATGAAAATGAAATTACAAACTGAGAGAAAATATTTGCAAACCATGTAATTGACAATTCTAGAATACATAAAGAACCCTTAAAACTTAACAGTAAAAATAATCCAGGCAGAAGACATGAAGAGACATTTCACTTAAATGGATATATATAAATAGCAAATAAACATAGAAAAAAATGTTCAGCATCACTAGCTATTGGGAAATGTGAATTAAAACCACATGATATATCACTGCATAGCTATCAGAATATAAAATCAAAGTATTGACAACAACAAATGGTGAGGTTGCAGAGACACTGAATTACTCTTCCATTGTTGGTGGAAATGTAAAATGCTATACAGCCTTTTGTAAACAGTTTGGTAGTTTTAAAAAATATGAAATATGCAACTAGTATATGACCTAACAATTGCATTTATCCCAGAGAAATGGAAAGGTAAGTTATATAAAGCCTATACAAAAATGTTGATGACAACTTTTCATTGAAATATCTGAAAACAGAAAATACGCTGTTGTTAAGTGCCATTGAGTTCATTCCGACCTGTAACGACTCTGTATAGGGTTTCTGAGGAGCAGCTGCTGGGTTTGAACTGCTAACCTCGTGGTTAGCAGTCCAGTGCCTATCCTACAGTACTATACCAGGACTCCAGAAAACACTATGGCTATCCTTTAATAAAGGAGCTCTGGTAGTGTAGTGGTTATAAATCGGGCTGCAAACCTTAAGGTCAGCAGTTTGAAACTACCAGCTGTTCCACGGGAGAAAGATGAGGCTTTCTGCTCCCATGGGGCTTTACAGCCTCGGAAACCCTGTACAGGATCACTATGATCAGAACTGATTCCACAGCACATCACCATCACCACCATCCTTTAATTTGTAAACATGCTTTTGGTACTTCTATACTGACTATATTTAATAACAACAATATGTCAGAAATACTACTCAGCAATAAAAAGGAATGAACTATAGATAACATGCAACAACCTGTATGAATCTCCAGAAAACAATTCTGAGTGGAAAAAGCTAATCTCAAAATATTATGTATTTTCTTTTGCCGATAACTGATTGGAATACCTAAAATTGGGCTACAACGTGCCCAGTGAAGGAGGCTTCCTGTGGAGCCTCTCTGCAGTCCATAAGACTATAGGTGGAAGCCTGAACCACATCCAGATCTCCAGAGATGGGAAATTCCCACTTGAAAGGACAAGCAGACCAACCTGGAGTGGCTAGAAGAACAGAAGATACTTCTTGAAAGAAAGACCTACAGGAAAAATATAAAACAACATAGGCAGACCTACTGTTACTACAAGAACAAGCAACTTGCTTGCCCAGGAAACATCAAGGCAAGTGTTCAGGTCCCCTGAGTGCAAAACCCCTTCCAAGACTAAGACTCAGTGGGAATACACGCTGTGATTGGTGACCACTCTCAACACCAATAAGGGGAAGTGATGGAAAAATAGCAATGAAGTGGTGAGCTAAGCCCTACTATGTTCAATAGACTTCTGTGAACCCGGGTGAAGACCTGGTTAGCCAGCAGTGTGGCAAGACCTGGGGACTCTTGGGCCCAGAGTCAGTGACATAGCCACAAAGGACTAGAGTGGAGAGTGAAGCATCCAGCTGATAAGAAGAGAGGGCATATGCATAAGAACACCCACACTTGCAGATAATACCCACTTATCCTGGCTTCAGTGACTGGATGATCAGAGCTCAACTAGAAGTAAAAAGAAGAGGAAAAAAAAAAAAAAGTATTCTCATAAAATTTGATGAACTTGACCTACACCTATGGAGGCAGTAGCTCAAAAGAGGAAACAAGTCCTTACAGCAAGAATCATCCCCACCCCCCTCCACACACAGAGTAGACAGGGATGGGCAACTTGGACATTAGCTACCCAAAATGGGTGGTTGGGGGGGAAGGCTACAAAGGCAAGAAGTGACTGGCTTACAAGCTTTCAAGAGGGAACCTAGATCCAGAGGGCCTGGAGGAAGGTAGAATCAACAGTGAGTAGTATTCAATCTGACTAGGTGGGGCTGATGCAATGAAATGCAGATGGGTCTCTTGTGATACAATAGTGAATAATTGTTATCAGGACTGATTGTGAGGGTCAGAAATGTAAAGGTAGACGTTTTATAGCAAGGAGGGGAGTGATTAACTTTTCAGTCTAGGAGCAGAGGTCCCTAGGACCATCAAGGGAGAAGAGCAGAGAGCGGGACCCTACCCAGAGAAGCAGTGATGCCTGAAATGGAGCCAGAGATGATGATATGGAGCGATGGAGCAGCTGGAGACTTTAGATCCAGGGAGGGAGAGTGACTGTGTGCTGAAGACCTGGGGTGTACGGAGGAAGGATTGCATGGAGGGGATTGTAACCATGGCAATGAGACGTTATACGATAGAATGAACGTAAAACTAATGTTCTCTCATGTAAACTATCACACAATTCACAATAAAATATTTAAGAAAAAAAAAAAGTATGTATTTCTATTCATATGACATTGCTTAAATGACAGAAGTAAAGAAATGGATACCAGATTAATCTGTTGCCAGTTAAGGAATTGAGATTGAGAGGTAGGAAAGGAGAGGGGAGGAAAGTGGGTGTAACTATAAACTCTTAAGACTGTAAATTGTTTTGTATATAAATTTATCAGTATACCGATTGCCATATTGTATTGTTGTTAGTTGTTAGGTGCTGTTGAGTCAGTTCTGACTCAGTGACCGTCTTCTGTACAACAGAATGAAACACTGCCCACAATTTTCCCTCCTCACAATTGTTATGTTTGAACCCATTGTTATGCCATTGTGCCAAGCCATCTCACTGATGGGCTTCCTCTTACTTGGACAACTGTACTTTCCTATTGCTATACAAGGCCGAGCTGGAATGTAGAATTTTCAGACGTTGATACTATGTGTGGAGAAAGCTGTCCTTTGACTACCAGCCAGCAGTCTGCTCCCCTTTCCTCTAAACCCCTAGCTCCATCCTTCACTGCAAGGGATATCGAATATATGTGAACACCCTGGACCACATGTCCAAGATCCATCCAACTACCCTCAACAAATAACTGTCCCTCAAGCATAACAGTGTGCCGAAAATAAATAAAATATTGGGACTACATAAAATATTTAGCTCTTTGAGAAAAGAAAACCCTTTTACTTGTCAACTTTAGTGTATTTGACTTTTGGAAATAGGAAACTGCCTGAATATACAAGTGAGAGGTTATCACACATATAAGCGAACTAAAAACTAAAGCTGATAGGAGCTTTGGGAAGCATTTGGAAATGAATTCTGCTTGTTATTTATTCCTGAAGTTAAATAACCATTGACTCAGAGTATCTTTTCGACTTAATGGGTGTTTTCTGATGATTTGACTGTTCTACATGTTTTACTGCCTAAATTTGATTTGATGTTTTTCCCATTCTGTTTGCTGGAAGTATTGTGTATAGGTAGATACATAAAACCATGTGGAAGTAGCTTCAGTTTGAAAAAATGTTGCTTATATATGTGAAATTATGTCGTGGATCTGGAAAGTAAACTATCAAGTAACATCATGGAGCTTCGCACATTGTTTGCTTTTTATTAAATTCTTTTTATTAATTTCATACAGTGGATCTGCTGTAATTACTTTACCTAGCTTCTGTTCTTTCTTCAGATGTTCAGAAAATCTTTGGTAAAGATGTTTGAAGATAAAGGGTTGGACTGCATATTTTTAGAAACTAATATGAACATGAAGAAACAGTATCATATGGTTTATGAATGCATTCCTCTCCCAAAGGAAGTGGGTGATATGGCGCCCATCTATTTTAAGGTATATGACTATGGCCTTCATATGCAACTTATTTTTTGCTATTGTTTTGCTTTATTAATACTGTTATCTTGATTCATACATCTTTTCTCCCATGTATTCATATCAAATTTTATATAAAGAAATGAACTAAAACACAAAGAAATTCTGCATATCAATGTCTGTAGAAAGAAATTGTAGATTTTGACCTTACAAATAGGAATACAAAATCGAATAGTAAATTACAATTTCTATCTTATCGTATCATATGAAATTAGAGTTTTACTTTGAAGGACTTTCAAGTTGTAATTGTAGCATAGCTGTAGAGCCGGAGATAGTAGCATAAAGATACTGCAAATGACAACTTCTGAGATAGCATATTGCATATATTTTAGTGTTTAATATCTCATGATATGGTTAGTAACAATGAAACAAATTTTCAACCTTGGCATAGATTTTTGGACTTGTAGTAAGTGACTAAAGTCCTTAGCCAAATAAATGTCATTTTAGTCTTAAGCAGCTTTTATTAAATACTGTGTTTGTTGCTGAGCTGAATGCACTAAAAAGAAATTGATAAACTAGTACAATCGCCTAAATGTATGTGACTATTAACATATGCAAAAAGGGATGTAATTATTTTATGGATGGTGAATGAAGGGTTTTGGGGATATGACACATTTAGACAGTATAAGGTGGTAAGATTTATTATTGCAGACTATTCATTCCAATAAAAAGGGTCATAAAACCTATTAAGAAAATTCTTTGAAAACAATCTGATTATTTGATTTGAAAAATGATGCTATTAAAGTATAGGAGAATAAGCCAGATAATCCCAAAGACACATTTCAGTCATTTGTTAAACTTAACTGAGAAAGAGACCATGATACTTTTCTCTCAATGTGTGTTTTGCACTCCCTCAGTAAAGCCTTAGATAATTGTGACTCCAGGCATTTGAGGTACGGGGACCCACAGACAGCAGCCACAGTTCATGTGGGGTGACAGAAATGTCATCTCTTAACACAATGGTGGGCCACTTTTCTCCTCTACAGTAAACCTTTTATTTGGCCATTAAAGATGCTGTATTTATTTGCTTTGGCTTCAATTTCATATTGAATGTTCCACATTATAATGTCAAACCAAGTACCCCAGGCTGTTTACATAGAGAACTGCAGTATATAGAATGCATTTAAATTGTAATTATTTGAATGCTATTTTCATCTTTAGAATTTGTTCTATTAACAATAATATTGTACAGTAATCAATTTGTACATTTATCACCGTATCTATTTTTTTTATTAAATGTTTATCATAAGTAGTAGTCATATTGATTATCCTTGGAGGTCTGAGAATTCCAATTCTATTTATTTTCACCCTGTATTTTTGTTTCTATGTTATATGGGCAAAAATAGTTCAAATCCTTGATTGCCAGAAAGCATATAAATTACACTTTTGATACTTAGAAAAAGAACACTAAAACTAAATAGATTTGTCCAACTGCCGTTTGGTTAGCAGCCAAACATTTAACCACTGTACCATTATGGTTGCTAGTTGTTTTGTATGTTGTTGTTGTTATGTGCTGTTGAATTGGTTTCGATTCGTAATGACCCTGTATAGGGTTTCCAAGGAGCAGCTGGTGAATTTGAACTGCCAACCTTGAGGTTCAAACCAACCTGTGGCCCAGTGCATTATCCCACAGCACCATACCAGGACTCCAATTGCTTTGTATAGCAGTTGCTTATTCATTTTTTATTGCTCTATAATATTTTACTGTGTGAATCTACCACAATGTATCCATTCTACTAGTCATTTATGTTATGTTATGTTTTGGCCCACTATGCATAGTGTTGGTGAATATTACTGTACACAATCATATATTGAAGCATATTTGTATATTTGTACACATTTCTATTAGGCATATATTCAGGAGTGGAATTTCTGTGGTAGAGAGTATGAAAATGGTTTTCATACCTGATTACACGAATTGACATTCCTTACAGCCATAAGTAAGTTTCTCATTGCACCACATATCCACTAACACTTGACTTGTCAATATTCTTAATTTTAGGCATTTTAGCAGGTGTGTAGTAGTGGTTCCGACTCCACGGCACACCAGCACCAGCACCACCAATACTGTTTCATGCTGCTTTTTTCTTTCCATTTCCTTGACTATGAATGAATTGAGCATCTTTTCATGCTTACTGGCAAATTTGATATCTCATTTTATGAAGTGCTAGCTTGAGTCTTCAGCCATTTTTTTTTTTTTCTATTATCTTAACTGCCTTTTTGTGATTTATAAGTATTCTTTATATATTCAGTTATCTCTCCATTTGCACTGACATTTAACTTTGCCAGTTATATTTATTGTGAATATCTTCACTTAGTCTGTGGTTTGTTTTATTTTAAAACCTTTTAATAGCATCTTGATGAAGTTTCTTAATTTTAATGTTCAATTTATCAATCTTTTTCTCTTTGTCTAGTGAATCCTTTTTATGAAATCATTACCTATTTCATTTTTATATCAAAATGGCCAGTGCCATTAATTGAAAAGACCACCTATTTCTCATTCTACTGTGTCCTTCAAAAAGTGCTACTTTTGACATAAATTAAGTGACCATGAAGAAAACAGAAGATTAATGGATTTTGGTAGATATCTATGAGTATAGTAGGGAATTTAAAATTTTTATATTCATAAATTTTGTTCAACAATAAATTGTTAGGTCTTATTAAGGATTGTTTTTGTCATATAAAATTGAACTGGTTAATTAGTAAACTTTAAGAAGTTCCAGTTTTAAATAATGACATACCACATACAATCTGTTGTTGTTGTTAAGTGTCTTCGAGTTCTGACCTATAGCGACTCTGTAGGGTTTCCAAGGAGCAGCTGGTGATCTTGAACCACTGACTTTGCAGTCTTACGCATTAGCCCACAGTACCATACCAGGACTCCATATATAATGTACGCTGTAATTAATTCACTGGGTGACTTTATTTTAAACTGTATCTTTCTGCTTGCTTACAATTTCATTTTCATTTAACAACTGGCTCTGTCTTAGAAAGCCATAATGGAGTCTGATGAAGAGTGGTCCTTGAACAAGAAGTTGATAGATCTTTCTTCAAAAGATATCAGAAAATCCGTAAGTATCATTTCCCCCTAATATAAGGAACCACTCTTAAATGTTCAGAATCTTCATTAATTTCCATATCTCAGTTGAGAAAGAGAATATTTGAATGAGTGACCCAAAACAAAATAGCTGAATCTATGAAAGTTTTAAGTCTACTTTTCTAGAAATATGAATTAAATGGGATGGAGATTTAATAGGCATTTGAAATCTTTTTTTCCCTAATCAAAAAGCAGTTGATTCTATAAACATTCACCGAGTGTCTGCTATTTAGCAGGCGCTGTTCTAGATGCTTTGTATACCTAGTTAAGAAAGCAGAGAAGAACACTGCCTCTATGGAGTTTGTTTGTAACCTGTAAACCAAATCTACCTGCTGCCTTTCTGTGTAAACAAAGTTTTATTGAACTACAGCTTTACCCATTGGTTTATACCTGTATATTGTCCATGACTGCTTTTATGCTACAAAGGCAGAATTGAGTTGTATGATATGCGAAGCTTAAAATAGTTTTGCCATTTGTCCTGGTGGCACAGTGGTTAAGTGCTCCACTGCTAACTGAACCATCAATGGTGTGAAACCACCAGCCCCGAGGGAGAAAGATGTGGTGGCGGTCTGCTTCGATTTAGATTACAGCCTTGGAAACTAAAGGGCAGTTCTACTTTGGCTCATAGGGTGGCTACTAGTCAGCCTCAACTTGGTGGTTCTTTCTGTTGCTTGTTTCTTCTAGCAGATGGTGTTAAAGTATTTCTCCTGTATTTCTTCTTTCGTAAAGCCAGTTTCTCAATACACGTGACTGACAGATTCCTTACTAAATTTATTATAATACTAGTCAACAGAGTAAAATTCCATTGCATTATTGAAAATGTTGTTGTTAAGTGCTGTAAAGTCAGTTCTGACTCATAGCAAACTTGTATAGGTTTCTGAGGAGCGTCTGGTGAACTTGAACCGGCGACCTTGAGGTTCACACCAACTTTGCAGTCCAGTGCATTAACCCACAGCACCAATTCATAGGTAAAACGTTTTCTAAAGTGTTTTTTTCTGTCAGTAATGATGAATTAGACAACATTAAAACACAAAACAAAACCTCTAAGTGTCCTATATGCCTTTCTTCCTGAGGGACCTGTAGATGACATCATAATTTATATTAGCGTAGTGGTTACGAATCGGGCTGTGAACCTTAAGGTGAGCAGTTCGAAACTACCAGCTGCTCCGTGGGAGAAAGATGAGGCGTTCTGCTCCCATAAAGATTTACAGCCTCGGAAACCCTGTACAGGGTCGCTATGAGTCGGAACCGACTCCACGGCACATAACAACAACAACAACAACGTATATATACTGGCTTGTATCCCAGGTTTTCACTTTTCATATCATAATAATTTTCCATGTCATTATTAAATATTCTTCCAGAACATGATTTTAATGGTAGATAATGGTTCAAAATAATACTTTTTTTAAAAATGGCTCTATAGTATGCACACTATACTGCAAACCACAAGGTCAGCCATTTGGGGCCACCAGAAAGTCTGTGAGAGAAAGATGAGGCTTTCTGCTCTCACAGAGATATACAGTCTTGGAAACCCTATACAGGGTCGCTGTGAGTCAAAACTGATTCTGTGGCACTTAACAACAACAACAATATTATTACCCAAATACTATACTGTATATGTATTATTCTTACCAGTGACCCATGTAGTACATTTTTTTTGTTTTTTATCTTAAAAAAAACTAGATAAATACCTGGCTTGAGTAACCAGGAGGTCTTAATAATATTACAAATGAGCCAATCTGGAAAAATAAAAAACATACTGATATTTTAAGAATGGTGGTTATTCAAGTTGAAAGTGTTCCAAAGATGTTGTTGCTGTTAGGTGCTGTTGACTTGATTTTACTCAGATCCTGTGCACAACAGAACAAACCACTTTGGTCCTGTACCATCCTCACAATTGTTTGAGCCCATTGCTGCTGCTGCTGTGGTAATCTGTCTCATTGGGGATCTTCCTCTTTTGCTGACCCTCCACTTTACCAAGCATAATGTCCTTCTCTAGGAACTGGGCTGCAAACCTTAAGGTCAGCAATTCGAAACTACCAGCTGCTCCGCGGGAGAAAGATGAGGCTTTCTGCTCCCATAAAGATTTACAGCCTCTTAAACCCTGTACCGGGTCGCTATGGGTCGGAACTGACTCCGCAGCACTTAACAACAACAACAAGTGACTGGTACATCCTCATAATATGTCCAAAGTATGAGAGAAGTCTCACCATCCTTCTTTCTAAGGAACATTCTAACTGCAATTCTTGCAACACTGATTCGTTTGTTCTTCTGGCTGTCCATGGTACTTGGGATACTCTTCTCCAGCAGCATAACTCAAATGCATCAATTCTTCTGTGGTCTTCCTTATTCATTGTCCAGCTTTCACATGAGGCATTAAAAATATCATGGCTTGAGTCAGGCACACCTTAGTCTTCAAACTGACATCTTTGCTCTTGAACACTTTAAAATGGTCCTGTGCAGCAGATTTGCCCAAGGCAATACATCATTGGAATTCTTGACTGCTGCTTCAGTGAATCTTGATTGTGGATCCAAGCAAATTAAAGTGTTTTACAACTTCAATCTTTTCTTCATTTATCATACTGTTATTTGTTGGCCCAGTTGTGAGGATTTTTTTTTCATTACGTTGAGACACAACTCATACTGAAGACTGTGGTCATCATCAGTAAGCATTTTAAGTACTTTTCACTTTCAACAAGCAAGATTGTGTCCTTTCTGCATATTGCAGATTGTTAATGCATCTTTCTCCAATCCTGATGCCATGCCCTTCTTCATATAATCTAGGATTATTTGTTCAATACACAGATTGAATAAGTATGATGAAAGAATATAGCCGTGGCACACACATTTGCTAATTTTAAACCATTTGGTATCACCATTCTGTTTGAGCAATTGCCTCTTGGTCTGTATACAGGTTCCTGATGAGCACAATCAAGTGTTCTGGAATACCCATATTCCCAGTGTTACATAGCTTGTCATGGTCCACACAGTCAAAAGCCTTTCCATAGTCAATAGAGCGATCTTTCTAGTATTGTTGGCTTTCAGCCAAGGTCCATCTTACGTTAGCAGTGATATCTCTAGTTTCATGTCTCTTCTGAATCCAGCTTGAGTTTCTGGCAGTTCCCTGTTGATGTACTGTTACAGCCATTTAAAAATTATCTTCAGCAAAATTTTACTTGCATATGACATTAATTATATTGTTCAGTGATTTCCCATTCTGTTGGGGGCACCTCTCCTTGGAATGGACACAAATATAGATCTCTTCCATTTGGTTGGCCAGGTAGCTGTCTTCCAAACTTTGGCACAGATAAGTGAGCATCTCCAGTGCTGTATGAGATTATTGAAAGATTTCAATTTCTATTCCATCAATTCCTGGAGTCTTGTTTATTACCAGTGCCTTTAGTGCATCTTGCACTTCTTCTTTCAGCACCATCGGTTTTTGACCATATGTAACCTCTTGAAATGGTTGAACACTAACCATTTATTTTGGTACAGTGACTGTGTGAACTCCTTCCATCTTATTTTGTGCTTTTTGCATCATTTATTATTTTGCCCATGGAATCCTTCA